TGTTATGCAAACGTGTCCGAATGAACTCCAAAGAATCTCTGATCGATTGTGCACGAGTATAAGACTGAAATATAAATAAAAAACACCAAGAAAGCAATAAATATTCCAAAGTGTGGATCATGACAAAGTTAGGTGATTTTTCCATAAAAGTCTTCATAGCAAAATAACTCATGCTTAAACTAACGATGACGAATAAGAGCAAAATTAAGCATAAATTATCTACAATGTGGCTGAACGGCTAAAACACAACACCAAACTGCGACCAAGTGTAATCACAGTCCGGAAATGCAGTAACAGGCAAGCTCTAATTGTCAACCCGTGGTCTAGATCTACTGCCTACTCCGTGTATTTCTGTTATCTAACAAACTAAGTTGAGTGATTGTTGATTTAAGTAAAAGCAGTAAGAAAGCAGAAAATGGTTCGATTTTTTAAAGAAAAGGAAGAGTCACTCGGGAATGAGTCCCCCTATCTCCTTAGTTAGGTCACAGTTATAATTACTTTTGGTTGCTTTACTACTGGTTATACTGCGGAAGATCCGACAGTAGCTTGGAATCTCTTAAGCTGACCAAGCCCTCTCAGTCAAACTACCCGGCAGACGACTAATCTTCATCGGGATAGAACGCTGAGGCAATGAACACAGAACTCCACTACTGGAATTAGATTCCAGTATAGAGCAGTGAATCGACTAACTCTCGTATAATCGATTCACTACTACCGATTGAAGAAGCTCTAACAACCTAATTAGATTCTATCTATCTCAGGTTGCAGCAGAAATCAATAAAAGATGATCAGACTTCAATTGACTCATTCAAAACACTTCAATCGATTATAATCAAGCAATATCACAATCCAAACGTAATTACAATCAAGATTCCTAACACATGAAACTAGGGTTCTTCATACCCAAGTGAGAGAGAGAGAGAGAGAGGGAAACATAATACAAAGCAGTCATACTCATAACAATGGGAAGAATCTGCTCTGGGATGATGATCTTCACTCCTATGATGATCTCCAAGCTCGATTGATGAAACCTAGCTCCAAAATCACTTCTAGGATGTGTTCTTTGCACTTTCTCTCTCTAGGGCTCTGTTTTTGCTCAAAAAATCGATCCCCTCTCCTTCGGCTCAAATTTGGGTAAAATCCCAGAAATTCCCGACCACACGGCCGTGTGGCTTTCCCAGCTGCCCGTGTGAGTGTGCAAAACGCCGCGTTTCGCTTAAGTGGCTTCAGGTATGCTACACGGCCAAAACCACACGACCGTGTGAATGTCCAGCCTGCCCGTGTGAGCTCCCAGGACATTCCACACGGCCACAAGGGGTCCCCTACTCAGCCAATGTGGCTTGCCCGTGCAATTTGGTGCCACATGGCCAGGTCACACGACGGTGTGGGTTTTTAGGCGTGCCCGTGTGGCTTCCTCAGCTTCTCTCCAAACGTCCAATCGACCACGAACTCTTTCCCGAACCTTCATTCACGTACTAGGACCTGAAATATCACAAACAAAAACAACCTAGCGTGAAATCGGCCTAAAACACGAGAAATAAGACTCAAACGGTGTGAGAATGGTGGACAAAAACATGTGTATATATCAAGTCATCTGTGGCTTAGACACGATACTTTAGCACGAAAACGCCTCGAGAATCGAGGTAAGATAACACCAATAATTTGGGTGTTATTATTTATTAATTTAGTTTCTCGCTTTACCTGAAGTAGAAATTCGGCAATGAATAGGGAACCTCACCCTTCGTGTTTACTTATATTGCATTGTTGTTTGAGCACAAGTATTTAATTACAAAGTATTTTATATTGAAAGCTTTATGAAATACGGCCTTAGACACTCTATGATTTATTACTTTGCAAATGTACTACAATTGCATCAAGCATATTATTTTGCTTCCACTTATTATTGTCGACAAGAGACTAAATCATGTTATTAAGCCACAAGAAATTTCGTCACTAGTGATTTATATTTATTCATGTGAAAACCTATCAATTTATGATTTTATGGTAATTAACATCACATTGTTCGTGACTAGGGATTAATATCTAGTTACTGTAATTGATTGTCACTCGAAATACCATCTTAAAAGGTGTATTGGTAGTCACGTGAATCATTTAATCACGATAGATTTCGTCTTAAAGGTATGCATCCTTTCTCCAAACGTTTTTTATAATATTTGTACTCCATATTTGGGATTACTCATGGGTTTATTGTGATTAAAAGGTAGAAATTATCCCGGCATACTATACCATGACTAGTTATATTCCATGACATTTACAAATAGAGACAAAGCTTTATATTATGATACCTTTCATGAGACCAAATCATTAAACAACTAGAAACAAACTTTTAAGCAAGAAATTTTCCATAATTAAATAATATTTTTCCTATAGTGTATTCTATATTTAGCAAAATGTCGTTAATCTCATAAATATATTTTTTTTTAAAACAGAGCGCAGGGGGCGTTCTATCTCTTGATTATTGATTAATCAAGGAGTCTGCACTCCAATAATATCAAAATATATACAACCAATAATTCATCATAGGAGGGCCTTGTCACTCTAGGGGCCTTGTCAACTGATTAACCTCAAACTGCTTATATTACTCTCTTTAGACCAAAGTTGTACGATAGAATTAAACTAGGCGGCCGAAGCTAGTTGATTCTCAAAAACCCAGCGGTTGTTGTTCTTCCATAGCTGCTATCCAAGAGCAGCGTATAGAGTGGGATCAATAATGGAACTTCGGCTTAAAATATAATGAAGCACCCATTTATTCACATCCTCCTTGAAAAATGCTTCATCTGGTTCCCCTCTTAGAAATTCCAACCAAACCATCCGAGCATATGATCAGTCTCTTAGCATATGAATCGTCGTCTCAAGACCACCACCACAAATAGGACAATCATCTCCGTGTTCCGGGTGACGTTGACAACATTCGTGATTTGTTAGTAGCTTGTTATGAAGGACAAGCCACAAGAACAATAGCGTAGGCTGCGGCCCTAGGATGTTCCAAACTTCCTTCCAAACCGGGTTATGTCTCTCATCATCATCCTCGCTTTTAAGCAATTCCTACACCGTTTTCGAAGAGAACTTACCTAACGATTAGAATCTCCACGTTCAGATATCGGTTCCGGCATCATGCAAGATAGGGTGGAGAAGGAGCTGAGCAGCCATATCTTCAGGTAGGAACACACTGATGAAGTCCATATTCTAGCCTTCGTTCAGCATCATTTCCGCATCCGTTAGATTTCTCACCTCGATCGGTAAATATTGAATGAATTTCACCTATGGTGGCTCAATCTGGATCCAGCGATTAGTCCAAAAGCGTGTTTTCATGCCACTTCTAATGTTCCACAATATCCCTTCCGGTAATTGGTGAAGAACACGTAGAACTCCTCGCCACAAATTAGATAACCTACCTTCCCTTCTCGACTGCCACCCACCTTCAGTTTGTTTGAGATAATTCCCCCTTATAGCACAGGCCCATAAACTATCTTGTTCTGAGAGAAGTCTCCAAGCAATCTTCAGCACAAATGCCTCTTTCGTCTTTGTGGCAGTCCACAACCCCAAACCTCCCTCCTCCTTAGGCTTGCAAACTGTATCCCATTGAGTCAGTGGACCTTTATGCCCTGTTCCGAACTCCCCCAAAGAAATCCCCTGATTTTCTTGTCACTGTACTCCCTGACGATTTCCGACAAAAAGAGGTATGCATGGTGTATGTCGGCAGCGACATTAGGACCGATTGAACAAGAGTCATCCGCCTGCTAGGGATAGCGATTTCACCTTCTTGCAAGCCAGTCTCGCGGTAGTGTATCACTGGCACCCCCAAGTAGCGACCCATGTTACTTGTTGTTGGGATGCCAAGTGCATTACTCAGGTCCGCACAATCCGAGGTACTAACTTTTTTGGAGAAAAAGATTCTCAACTTGGGATGGCTAACTTGATGTCCGGAAGCCGCACCAAATTCTTCCAAACACCTAGAGATAACTTGCGCTTTCCGGTCTTCCGCGAGTTCACCGGCTATTAGGGAAGTCATTGGCGGTCACCAAATTAACAAGGTCGTCGACCTTCCATTCAATGTTCCCTTGAGAAAGAAGAAATCTGGAGAGGATGAAGAAGATAAGTGGGTAAATGGTTATTACACATTTTGGACCCAAATTCCTCATGTATTACCGAACAAGTAAATTGGCCCAAATTCGTCATTCAAATTATCTAGGTTTTTAAACCAAAGATTTAAGCCCAAATCCTTGAAAAATCCCTCAAAATCAATTTCCTAATTCAAACGAATGCTTAAATAAGAAGTGGTACATAAATTTTTTGTAATAACTTAACACTTTACGTAACGCGAAGTTAACATTCATTAAGTAAAAGGACCATCCATTACGTAAGGTTTCTGTAATAACCTTTTACAACTGTTACGTAAGATAAACATATGTTACGTAACCATTGCATAATATCTATTATATTATACATAATACGACTTGTTAAACCTGTTATAGCAAGAAAAAAATTCAAATGAACTCACTTCAAAGCATTATATTGTTGAAATTCCAAAGAACGTACATATTTAACGGAATGTCGTTAATCTCATCAGCCAACATTTTAACATCCACAATCTCATAAAATCTTATCAACCAGTCATTGTCATAATCACAGGAATGAAAGAGTTTTTTTTCCTACTATTTTAATTAAAATAATAGTATTTAATGTGTCATTTTGTGTGATACCTATTTTCCGTTAACTAGCTTTAATTAACTAATAAGCTATATTATTCCCTTTAAACACAATATTTTTGTGATTAAATAACAATTTTCCTGAATAATAGTGTATCCTACATTTAACGAAATATTAGTAATCTCACAAGCCAACATTTTAACATGCACAATCTCTCCCGTCAAAAAATAAAAAATAAAAACATGCACAATCTCATCAACTCATAACGTCATAATCATAGGAATGAAAAGAGTTTGCTCTATAAATTTAATAAACCGATCAGCAATAATATCCCATCTGTTGTAATGAAAACGATCCCCTAACGTATTGGAATGAAAATGATCCCACCTCTTAACAATTAGCTATAATATCCCATATGTTGAGATATAATATCCCACCTCTAAGTAGTTAGTAATATATATACCCAACAAATACGATCATACGTATCAATCAGCTCGAGTTTCTCAGTTGTTTTTCCCGAGACCAAAAAGAAAAGAAGAAGTGAGAATCAAGTGACCGGACGCAATGTCTCTCGGCCGCTTATGTTTCCTGGTTCTCATAATCATTGCCTCGTCAGCCTGTACCATCAACGGGGGCAGTGACGTGGACTTCCAGGTCATCAACAACTCCCCGACCACCAAAGGCGGAGCCCGATTCATGCACGAAGTCGGACTCAACTATACAAGGTACAAAATGGCGGCGGCCTCGCAGTTCATATGGCAGAACATCTTTCACCAATACAAGCCTTGCGACAGAAGAAACTACCAGCAGGTGAAGCTGTTCATCAACGTATTCAACGCCTCAAAAGTGGCCTACACGGGCAGCGGCGAGATCTACTTCAGTGCTAATTACCTAGAGAAGTGCCCCACCCGCTACCTGCGAAGGGAGTTCACGGGGATAATGTACCGCGAGATGGTGCGTGTGTGGCAATGGAACAGCGGCGGCCAGGCTAATCCTGGGTTGATAGACGGGATAGCCAATTACGTGCGCATGAAGGCAAATCTTGCACCGGTCGGTCAGTATGCCAAAACCAGGTGTAGTGGCAGATGGGACCAGGGTGGGGACGTTACAGCCAGGTTTTTGGATTATTGTGACAGCTTGAGGAAAGGGTTCGTAGCGAATCTGAATATGAAGATGAAGTACAGCTACAACGACAACTATTTTCAGCAACTGTTAGGAAAGAGTGTGAATCAGGTTTGGCGGCAGTATAAGAAAAAGTACAACCGTGGCTAAACTGCTGGTAATCAAATGTGTCACATACTCACATACGCGATTTTGCACCGTCATCGGAGCATGACAAACAAATTTTATGTTCCAGTAGTCGTCAATTATTAATTTTCATTTTTTCCTTGTGTTTGCTTAGATATACTTACCGGTGGGGTTTGATTCTTTATCCACTAGGTCTAGTTTGTTTGGGTTGACATTGAATTTCATTCTCGTTCTTAGTCTTCCCTGTTTACTCCGTCTTTTTCCTTCTAATTTAATTGAAATTCTCTCAAGGAACCGAGGATTCATTGGTTTATGTGGGTTTGATTCATAAATTCATGAATTTTAGAATTTTATGCATCTACTGATTGCATTATAAAAATGTAGTATCAAATTGTTGTGCCGCACGAATTTGAAAAACTGATATAAATAGGTAGGATGTGAAGAAGCTGAACGAATACTTGATATTTAATCACTCTAAGATCCTTTATTTTTTTATTAAAAATTTTTGGGCTAAAAAGGTTAATCTAATTTTAATACCATAAACACAACTTAGCAAAATTCAGCATAACATCCAACAACTAAATAACTTTTTTTTAATTTATAAATGACCTTTATACATCATCAAGTAATCTTTCATTGTCCAACTTCAATAATTTGGCATAAAATTTCATGTTTCAAATCAACACATTACCTAAGCTCTATTTTTCATGAATGCCTTGCCAATCCTTCATTGTCCAACTTAAAGAAGGGATGGAGCCTCCCTAACAGGTGGGCCTTTTGTGAGGTTGAAGAGGAAACTGTTGATTATATCTTTAGCACCTGTGCTTTTTCAAGGGAAATCTGGCGCATCTTGAGAGGATTTGTGGAATCAGGTATCAATAGCAACGTCTTCATCGACATTGCTGATAGAATGAAAGATTGGCCTTGCTCTATGCCTGGAGAGTCCAAAGTAATGGTGTACGAGAGTACTTCTCCATGCGTACTGCTGGAACATTTGGTTGGAGAGAAATGACCGGATATTCAATGAAAAGAAGTCTCCTGCTCGGGTGGTTGCATACAAGTGTGGTCGGGCAATTTATTCTTGGTTAACAGATGCAAAAAAGGAGGATCCTGAGGTGGCTGGAGCTTGGATGTCAAGTTTGAGAACCAGGCTCATCCCCAAAGCTAGATTGAATGGATATGACAGATATAAGCTGGGAATCCTAAGAGTTAAGTCATGATCACTGTGGCTACTACAGACTGTTGTTGGAAAAGGACTGAAGAGATAAGGTTGTTGTTCATTGTTGTTTGTTTGTTGGTGCATTGTTTTTGCAGCAGGCAGATGGGTGGGTTAGCTTTGTGACTTTGCCCCTCTTTTCTTTTCTTCTTCACTTCACTGTCTCTTTTCCCAGGTGTTGTTGCTTGGTTTTGGTTGTTTGGTGAGGGTTGGGGAGAACTCTTTTCATTGCTTTTGTTTTCATTTTCCTTCTTTTCACAATAATAATTATAGATCACCCTTATAAAAAAAAAAGTTGACAATGATTGTTAATGTAATAAAAAAAAATAACAACTCGAATACTACTACACCTTATTTTCTTGTCTTAGCCTTGCCTTAAAAGTTTTTTATGACCTTATAACACCTTCATATGAAAATTTTACTCTATTTATAAATTCCAACCTATTGTGATCAATAAACCTAATGTGAGTGGCTATAATAAGGTGTTGGTTTTCTGTCAAATGGATTTCAACAATACTTTTATCCATGATAATTTCATGCAGTACTATTGTGGTGCCACCTAGTTTGATCTTTGTAGATTAAAAAAGCTATTATTTGGCTTCAAACCAGTTAGAAAGCAATGGTGAGACTTTAACAATTTGATGTGGTCAACAATTATTTAATTAGTTTATCTTGATTAATCAAACTTTAATGATAGTTCATCGACATCCGATTCAATTGCTTTTCAAACGTCGTCCCTCCTCAGGTGTCCGTAGGACAGCATTGTAGGGGGAGAAAGACATGAAAGCCAGGGTTTGAGATTTTGGAAAAAGATTGAGTTGTAGCAAGGAGAAAGTAGTAGATCAAATTGGGGATTTCTTATTGGTCGTCGGACAAGAAAGTAGGGGAGAACTGGGAAGCATCTTCTAATTTTATTTTTAATTTATATTTTTCTTATTTCAATTTCTTGTTAGTTTTGAATTAAAATTTGATGTGTCAATGACATGGTGTCTACACGAATGCCAAGTTTTTGCCATGTCACCGGAAGTTAATATCGTTTTGAGCATCATCGGGTTAACAGTTATCTCTAACGGTCAACAAAAGCGTAAGGATACAAATGTCACAAAAATATCATAGCTTGTGCTAGGATTATCATATTGACTAAATTAAGAAACAACTGACATTTGTTTATAATTGGGTTGTTGTAGTGGTTGTACTTTTTTTATGAGGCGACGCTTGTCCAAAAGCATGTCAGGAGGAAATGTTTTGTTTTATTGTAGTTATACAGAAAAAATATAAAATAGAGCTGGAGGAAGGGGAAAGTAGTAGATTGAATTGGTGATTTCTTATGGATTGTCGGGCAAGAAAGTAGGGTAGAACTGGGAAGCTTCTTTTAATTTTAATTTTTATTTTAATTTTTATTTTTCTTATTTCAATCTCAATTTAGTTTTGAATTAAAATTTGTTGTGTCAATGACGTGGTCTCACCGTGGATGCGAAGTTATTGCCATGTCACCATAAGTCAATATCGTTTTGAGAATCATCTGGTTAACCGTTATTTCTAACGGTCAACAAAAACGTCAAGATACAAATGTAACAAAAGTCTCATAACTCGTGCTAGGATTAGCAAATTGAATAAATTAGGAAACAAGTGACATTTGTTTATAGTTGGGGTGTTGTAGTGCTTGTATCTTTTTATTTATTGATGTGGCGACTCTTGTCAAAAAGCATGTCAGGAGGAAATGTTTCATTTTATTGTAGTTATATGAAGAAAAAAAATTATAAAGCGAAAAGGGAAAAACAATCATCGAAGAAAAGATCGATCCACTGCACACTGTCTCCAATGTGGTTGTCGTCAAGACCCTCATCAATGAGCCCTCCCTCCCTCTCCCACAGTTCCTCGATCCTCGGCCTGGCGGTAGCTTTCATAAGCAACTGCCTCCTCGCCACCATCCGTCAATTCGCCATCGTCAAGATTTGGTTGATTGTGCTCTATCCCAAATCCCACCAAAAATTACATGTGGCTCCAAAATCCCGAATCCCCAAATTAGTTAACGAAGTCGCCCTCTTCTCTGATTTCAACTCTTTCCCCAATCAAATTCTGAGTAGGTCGAGAACTTATCGCTAAAATTGCTGCAAGCCTATGATCATGTTGCAGTGTATGGTTAAATTTATTGGTCTGAAGACTAGAATCATATTTTCCTAGAGCCTCTCAAACAACTTACTCAGGTGGTAAGGGACGAGTTCTATGATTGTTTTATAATGAATGTGGAGATTGAGGTGCCGCTGGTTTTGAAATTTCCCCTGGTTTCACAAAACTAAAAATAAAGCAATGAAAAAAGAAAATCTAAAGTGAACAGCGAGTGGATGAAGCAGGAGGCCGAGGCATTGCATAGTCAAACTCTCCCTAGAGTTTCTTTGACTTGTAACTTCAATCCTAACAACATATGAGATGGTTGATCGTTTTTAGGTTTACTCCTACCATATGTCGTAGCGAATGCAAGGTATAGTAGGCAAAAATATTATGACCCTCTCGATGTCTCCTTTGGGGAGGTAGACGCAGTTTTATGAATTAATGGTTGATCGTGAGGGATTTTCGTGTCAAGTCTAATCCATCCACGAAGCCGTGTTTGAGAATTGAACATTTAAAGTTAGTCCTCATATTACACAAGAAATCCGATCACTGATAAACCAACTGAAAGAAGAAACTGAAAGATAAAGGAAATCAAACCATCATATTTATGTCAAAATCAAAAATTGCATAGTCAATAACCTCTACGGTTCGCCTAACTATGCAACTAAGGCAACTAGCTAGCCCTGGGGCCGAGCTCCTAGGGGTACATTAGTCAAAATGGGTCCCTAGTGAGAACTTTTAATTGGCATCCATAATAGAGAAAACGGGTACTAGGTCTCCGCTTCTAGCGCCGACTTTCCTTTCATGGTCGGTTTTGCTCTAGGTCGAGTGACTCATTCTATCAGTAGAGTAACGACCATCTAATGCCTACTATCACTGATACTGAACTCCTACCCTCTAGAATTCTTCTTATAGACTTTTAACTAGTGTTTCTTGGAGAGAGGCCAATCTTCGACGCGTCTTCAAGCCCCAATAAGTATCCTTTAGCGTATCCACCACAAAAAGAATATACCGGATGAATCTATGCATTTTCTAAACGATCCCCCAAACGGTGGTCAATGGATCATTTTGGACTTTGGACCGCTGAATTCAGAGATATTTTGTGATTGCCCTTCATTATCGATTCTAGATCCTAGAGTCTTGATATACCCTAACACATAGAAAGTAGTTCACTAGGATGCTATGCTCCAAAAACACACAAAACACTAACAAGAATGCATAATGATAAAAGCAAATTCAATACATTTTGATGAGAAATGTGTGTAAACGATGAAGTTTTGGTCCTAATATGGGAGTCTAAAACAGTACTTTCTACGTGTCATCAAACCCCACCCTTAAACTTTGATTGACCCCGGAAAACCTTGCTCACAATCGGACAGCTCACTTGACCTCTACGATGACATGTGACTTACAATTGTAGGTAGTGGATCATAAGCAGCTTACAAGGTTAACCCTCACACTTAGAGAAACGCTGCATAAACGAGGTGCGTATCTCGCAAGGACAATCTGGCATAACTCTATTAATCATAAGCTCTTATCTCAATGGGAGTATATAACAAATTTACCTCGATGGATGAAATGATTCATACACAATCGGCTAGTTCCTTTCGATTTTGGACCTTAACAGAAAGAAAAGAAAATGATAAACAAAAAGAGAAAATGTGTCGTCTCCTCACCTACGACAATCACCTATGATAGGTTTTTCCTAAAAAAATCTCTTGAATGATTCGAACTTGAGTTGTATGAGTTGTGTTCAGAGGAGATTGCGGCTCATAGCATAGG